AGGTTAGGGATTTCATCATGCACAACAATGAATTAATATCAACATTTCATAATATTTTAGGCCTTTAAAAATCCACAACAATGAAAAACAAATCAATGAAACCCTCTTTTACCCAAAATGAATAAGCTACAAAATATACACACAGTAAACATCATGCAAACAATAATAAAAAGAACAAATCCCTAACAAATTAACAGAACCAAAGAAAATTAAAACACTTTACAAACCCTAACTGGATCAAAAGGAACCTAAAATCTAAATACCTAACATTCTTCATTTATGTCTTTACCTTAATAGAAGCTTGTGTCGTATTCTTCCATCCTTGAGCTCAATTTCCGTTTGATTCACTGGTGAACACTATGAATACCCACAAAAAATAAAACAAATCGACACCACAGAGGAGACGTCATTGGCGCTCGCAAGAGGATAAAGGAGGGAGGAGATCGGTGAGAGGAGGGAGGAGGTGGTCGAATATCGTGGTCGGTGCAGGGAGATCATCGTTGAAAAGAAGAGAATGGAGGGTTCTCTGAGACAGATTATAGAGAGAGTGGGTATATGTAAGCAATTTGAGGTTAGTTTCCAATCAATACCCTTGCATCCAAAGAGAAAAGTTATAAAGCACAAGGTCAAAATTGACTTTTCAACTTTTAAAAATACTGTTCATATTTGGCTGAAACTACTATTCACCTTGCATCCGTGCTTTATATATATTGGCCTCGTTTGGGAAGTGGCTATTTTAGTAGGTTATTTTAGTTTTTGGCTATTTTAAGTAGGCTAAAATTTTTGTGTTTAAGAAGATGATTGGATTTTTTTGTGGTTGGATGTGATGTTTGTGAGAGAAAAAGTGAAATGATTATAGGTTTGATGTGATATTTTGTCTTATTAACTATTTTAGCCTATTTTGCCTTTTTGTGATTTTTAGCCTAAATTTGACTATTTTTTTTCTTCCCAAACACCCCAATTATATAGAAATACCTTATAAAATAAACCGTTCAAATTATCAAATGTGTGATAATTCGTACGTGACTTTCAAATTCTCGTGAATTTGAAGAAGCCCAACCCAACCAAAATAACTAGTCATAGTTGTGACCTGTTGACAAGTCTCCTTAACAAAACAAAAAAGATGATGTGAAATTTTCCTAACATGTGAAAACATGAAGAGCAACTGCTTTAATGGCCCGTTTGAATTGGGAATTTGGTCAAAAACAAAGAAAAGATTTCATCAATTGTTTAGATGATTAAGGAGATTAAAAAAAATAGTGAGAAATTTTTTTTCTTTAAAACTAACCAAAAATGATGAGAAATCAAAATCTCTCTTTATAAATAAATTATAATACCTAAATTACCATTCGAAAAACAAATTAAATAAGATAAAATGACATATACATTATTTTTATTATTATTATTATCCATCCAAATTATATGATGTGAAATCAAAATAATCTCTTTTCCTTTCTCATCTCCTGATAATTTGAAGTAAAAAAAATAAGTGCAAAAATATCCAAACGCAAGTGGATATGTGCTTTGGTGCAAAAAAACTAAACGTTAAATTGCACCAAAGCACATACCAGCTTGTATCTCCATATTTTCCCCCAACTCCAAGTGATTTACAACCTTTTCAAATTCTATTAGGTTGTATTTCATGGAAAAGAGTAATCTTACACAATAATAAATTTTACAAGCTTTTTTTACTTATTGATGTGGCATCTACCATATTATTCAAGTCAACAATACTACAAATCCATAATTATTATCAAAAAATTTATCTAAAAATATCAGTAGATGATCCAAATTTAATTGATACATGGAATCCAAAACACATGATTTAAGTCTCAACCCTTCATTCCCAATCTAGGTCATTTTCCTGACACAATTTCTGGGCATGTAGACTTTTCCAAAATTTATTTGTTTGGATAGATGTTTCCATCATGGAATGGGCTCAACCAACAATGACATCGCCTGGTCTTTGTCATTTCCATCAGGAGCCCCATGGCCATCTCCATCTTGGTAAATGAAATGTGAAACCCTAGCAAGGTTTATTGCAAGTCTAATAAAAGAATGAGGGAGACAAGAGTCTTCCAACACATCTTCAGTAATCTTTTTCCAAGTTTCATCTATTTGATACCATATGTAATCTCGAGCAACTTCCTCAGATGCCCCAGTTTCTCTCATGTAACATTGCACTGATTTCAATATGTCTCCTCTCTCAATCTCAGCCTGTGAATATAAAACACAAACTTTCAAGCAATAAAAAACCTAATTTATAAGTAATTTAAGTTTAATTTTCTCATAGAAAATGGACTCTAGCTAGGCCTAAATCTAAATAATGTGTATTGCCAAACAAAACCAACTCATACTTGATGGGATTGCCAAAACTATGGGAATCACAACATGTGTCCCTTTTATTCCATGTCTGGTGTTGGGTGGGGGGATTAGGTCTTATCTCTCAAATGGAGGCTAAAGACAGATAAATAAATTAATACTGTTACGATTTTCACATTTTGTTACCATTCTTTACTTATATGACTTAATATGATATGCCAATATTGTATTAATAATACAGAGTAGTTATATGACTTAATAAATCAATACAATGTTGAATAACTTCTAATACATAAAGATGGTTACCATAGTGTTATTGTAAATAATACCACCCTAATATGGTTTGTCTTATACATGCCTTTCAAATTATCACCCAATGATAAGAAACAAGGGTCTTGCTAAATCTCAAAATATTTATAATTTCAATACACTTCTTATATATATCAAAATACTTTCACATATTTCGATACACTTTTTTAATACTAATAAATAATAGTCCTTTTGTTTTTGGCATAAAAAATGTTTCAGACCCTCGTTAGGGGTGACCCTTAGGACCCCAGTGGGGTGTGATTGGCCAAAATTTATTTATTTATTTATTTTTTCTTTTCCAATGACCAACCCCCATGTGTGTGTGGGAGTGGGGGCAGTGTGGGAGTCTCAATCACGTTTGTTTTAGCATTTTCCAAAAATGGCTTGGCTTCTTTTAAATTGGCATTAAGAGAGCATTTGGGTTTGATAAGTTCATTTTGAGATCAATTTCAATGATCTGAATCGTTCATTATTTAGGACTCGTTGAGTAGAATATTTATGCAAAAAAATCAAGATGATCAGATATCGATGGTTATATGTTTAAATAAAATTTGTGTTGTAAAAAATTAATAGTTATTCTTGAAATTATATTTGTTAGCTATTTTTTTTAAAACAAATATAATTCAAATATATATCTACCGATATGGTTCAGATCACCGAAATCGGTCCCAAAATGATCGTAACAAACCCAAATACTCTCTCAAATTGAAATGACAACTTGAGAGAAGCCAAGCCCTTTCTCAAAAAATAATTGTCTCATTATTACTCTCTTTATCCCATTCTAAGCTAATATGGTTTAATTCTATGACATTATATATAATCACATTCATTGTCCCATGCTATTATCATCACAGTCTCATTTCATCCATTTCCTCTTAAATTAATAGATGTGTTATGAAAATAAAAAAATTTCACAAAATAAGATAGAAATGTGAGATAAAGGATGAATCCCTTGAGACTTAAATTAATGGACAAATTACACTAACAGTCTCTATAGTTTGGGACTCGTCTCACTTTAGTCCTTGACTTTTCAATTGTGACACATTTTATCCTGAATTTTGAATCTTATTCCAAATAAGGACAATTGAAGATACCATTGTGTAATATCAAGGGTAAAATCATCAATTTAATAAAATATAAACTAATTTGACAAAAATAAATGTCAAAAAAATATTTTTAATTTTTAAAAAATTATTTTTATCTACCAATGATAAAATTATGTAAAATTGATAAAAATTACATGATCAATTTTTAAAAATTAATTTTACATGATCATCATCTAAACACATAATAAAAATTAATTTGGTAAAAAAATAAATAAATGTCTAAAAGATTTATCAGTTTTACATAATTTTATTTTTAGTGGGTAGAAATAATTTTTAAAAATTCAAAAATATTTGTTTGACATTTATTTTTGTCAAATTAGTTAGTATTTTCATTCTTACAAAACACTACTTTTATAATTTAACTTTTCTTTAGAAAGAATTGAACTCATTACCTTCCCTTTAAGACTAAGTCCTTAGGAAAAATTATTTATTTTCATTAGCATATATCAAATATTGATATTACTTTCATTAAATCATTTTTTTAAGTATAAAATTGCATACAAATGTAACTTGATGAAAGCATTATCGATATCAGATTAATTTGATTTTTTATCAATTTTACTCAATATATGTTAAAAAGTGAATGATTCAGATCATTAAAATAAAACTTAAAATGAATTCTATTGATTATATAACAGTGACTGTGTACTTGACACACAACAAGCCAACACCCCAATTTTCTCTTTTTTGGAGGTTGAAGGCAAAATTTTAAAGTAAGCCTTTTAATATTAATTATAATAAATTTTTGTATTTATTTTAATGTAAATTTCATTTTGTATAGGTATGTATATAGACATTAAAAGGTGGATTTTCCTAATTTGGTGGCCTTGGCTTAATTGCCTTTAAGGTCGGGCCGTCTCTACTTGAGCACCACTTGATTTTGATCTCAGAAGGCTGCCCTCGCCTCCTAATTAAAGCAGCAGAGGCCGACCAAATGGTCTTCAAATAAAAGACTTGAAATGAATAATGAATAAAAATATAATAAAAAATGAAAATGTTTGGGACCTCTTTTGGGGAATGACCCCCACACCTTTAGGCCATGTTTGTTTTGGCGGACTGGATTAGTATTCCTATGACTAATAGTCCTAAGACTACGAATCTGTTGGATTATGTATCCTATCTTAACTAATAGTCAAGTTTGAAATAATTAGTCCGTACTTCAATTGTTTAACCAAACATCTGATTAATAATTTTATTGGATTATTAGTCCAATCCCAAGCTCATATCCACCCAAACAAACATGGCCTTAAAGTATATCTCTCACACTCTCAAAGTGATCCTGGTCCTCCATGTATGTATGGGGTCCTCTATATATGTATGGGGTCCACTCATATATGTATGAGATCCAAATCTTGAGTAATCCAGATTTATAAGGATCTTGTGAAGGTGAGAGTCTCAATCATTACTATTTTATTTAAGCGTATTCATATGAGTCCTACTCATTGGGGGGATTCACAGTGCTCCCTCAAGAGGTACTTGAGCTATAATATGATCCCTACTCTACCAAGCGCATAGTCTCATCCCTAAATTATATGGAAATTACTTGATATATGTAGAGCATGATGAGTAAGTTTAAAAAAATGAATAAAAGGGAAACAAATAATATTACTGCTTGCTTGCAATAGGATAAGCTATCAAATCCATGTTCCTTTATAGAATGGTAAGCCAATTCGTTTATTGTGTTGAAAAGAGCAATGAAACCCATTCTCAGATGGCATGGAAGTTGGTCTGATGCAGAAATATCCCACCTGCATTCATCATCAAGTTAAAATAGTGATCACAATGATTATTAATTAAAATAAAAAAAAGGGCAAATAACACCTACAATCTCGATAAATTTGATTCTCGTAATTTTAACTGTGTCAATTGTATTATTGAATTTTTCATATCGTCACAATTTAATTCAATTGATAACAATCATTTAGTAATTAAACTAAAATTAAGGGGCAAAATAGTCAATTCATAATCTTTAAAATGGTTGAGGGTGCAGCGTGAAAAATGTGAAGAGTAGAATCTGAAACAATAATAAAATTAGAAGTCTTGTCTATGTTGAATCCAGAGATTATTAGAATAATAGAAAAATAAAAGAATTTTCTCAAGCTAAATGTATGTTATCAATCAAAAGCTACAAGCCCTAAGGCTTACAAGTAGAAGAGAATTTCTAAAACAACTAAAAAGGAAAATAAAATATTATGAAATAAAATAATAATTCTTGTAAAGTAAGAAATTCTAATTTTTGTAAAAAAAGAAAATAAATCAAATAGAAAAACTAAATAAATGGAAAACTAAAAATTTAAACATTAACTAATACTGGTAGTTAAAATAAAAATGTAAATTTTTTTAATCCAATATTAATTCTAAAATAATAAGAATGAAGTATATAATTTTCTAAATTCAGTCTGCATCATAGGGTTGGCTCCAATTTCAAATGGTCAATTTCATTTTGAACGGATCAAATTTCTTAATGGATATTATCAATTGAATTAAATTAGTACAATATGAAAAAAAAATAAAGGATAAAATTAATACAATTGAAACTACATAGATCAAATTAACACAATAGATAAATTATAAAGATTGCGAGTATAATTTATCAAAAAAGAATACACTTAAAGTTGTGAAATTAAGAACCTTTCTATGGCATGAGTGAAGATCTTGAGCTCATCCAAAGAACCATAAACATCATAAATATCATCAACTACTGTGACTACTGCAATGATCTTGGCAACTGCTTTCGTGCAATTACTGAGTTGAGGTTCAGAGGCCATTCCCAAACCCCATAAGTAGCTCTCAACCAATCTATCTCTTGAGAACTCCAATCTATCTTTGAGCCCCAAATCCTTCCACCACCTATATGAAGGTACAAGAGAAGTTAGTGTCTCTTCTCTCTCTCTCTCTCTCTCTAATTCTGCCCCCCTTGGAATGACAATTTTGAAAAAAATAAAAGATTCTAAAAAGTAATAGATTAATAACATTTTGTACCTAAATTATGTACTTCCAAGCAATTCAATTTTACTTTTAAAGTTTAAATGTGTGTCAAAATCTTCTTCATGGTTGATGACGCCGGTACTCATTATCTGAGTAATGGGTATTTTTAGAACAAAAATTACACATCAACAAAAAGAACAGTTAATTACACATTCGGTGCCTAAATTATATGTTTGGTATTATTTTGGTGTCAATTTTCAATGGATTGATCTTTTTCCCAATGAGATTTATTTTCTATTCCAAAAATACTTATGATTCTGACGATAAATAATAACAGCGTTGTACATAAAAACCACTTTTAAAACATATTTGAGACTTCCTATGAAATTGACACAATTGCAATGTAAATAATTTATTAACTATTCTCACATTACCAACTCAAGATACTAATGTGGTGCTCCTGAACTAATAGGAGCACTAGTACCAGGATGAGTGAAAGACTTGACCAACCTTGGTTAGTTAAATAGGAGAAAAGGTCAGTCCTATTCATTATTATTTATTTATTTTTGTATAGTCTCATTGGTTAACAGCAAGATGTGCAAAAATCATTTTCCTTGTCGAGGACTAAAATAATACAAAGGGCATTGATTAGGGACTAAAAGTATAATAACAAAAAGCAAAAAGAAGACTATTTTTTGGGTTAATTACACTTTTTAGTTATATAGTTTTCAAATTTCACTTTGGTTCCTATAGCTTTAAATTGAATAATTTGATCTCTACACTTTAAGTCCAGTTTCAGTTTGGTCATTTTATCCAATTTTTGTTAATTTTTATACGTGTCACTATTAAAAATTGACAAGTGTCTCAAATTTGTTAATTTTAATATCAAATTTGAATTGAAAGATTAGATTGAAACTGGATTGAAAGTATAAGGAACAATTTGCTGAATTCGAAACTATAGGGACTACTATGAAATTTAGATCAAACTAATTTTGTCTCTATCAAGTTCAAACTGAAAAAAAATACCTTGTGAGGTCTGCTAAATCTTTCTGGTGAACAGATTGAACAAAGTTGTAGTCCAACTTAGCTAGTTCAAGCAAAGCAACAACCTTATCATCTCTCTCTTCATCTACATCAATGTACCACCTAGCCTCAGACCTAGTCATTTGCCATTGTCGAGGAAGCTCCAAAGCTCTGCTAATTTCTCGACCCAAGACTTTGTTACTCTTAAGAATACTATGATGTTTCATTTTCTTGAGATGAAAGGTTGTGAATATTTTTGCCTCTTCCATGGTGTGTTCACCATGGATGCCAAGAAAAGAAGCTTCATACAAACTTAACAGCCCTTTAATGTCCTCACAAATGCTTGGTTTGAAATTCCCATCGTTGTCTTTGAATCGATTGAAAATGTCTATGCAATACCCAAAATTCAAAGAGTTAAATATATTTGTTAGTACAAGTAAAGAAAAATGAGTAAATTACAGTTAAACTACAATATATTTACATTTTGTTCTAATGAATTTCAAAATTCAACAATTAATTATGTCAGAGTATTATCTTGTTACCTATGAAGGATGGATATTGCAATAAACATGTCGTGCCCATAAAGGGTACTGCTACTTCATGCCATACTTCTGCACACGTATTGAATATACAAAACATTTTCTAATTTTATCTTCTTAATTTTTGCCGTACAAGAAAAAATACTTTCCGTGACCAACATTTTGGTTGCGAAAAGTACCATATTTGGTCGCTAAAACCTTTTTGCGACCAAAATATGTTCGTCGCGAGTTGGTCGCTAAAGCCTCGTCACAGATAGTTTTCTGCGACCAAAAAAGCCTTTGGTCGCTAAAAGTGACCATTCGCGACCAACTTTTTTGGTCACGGAAAGTCCAATTCATATAAGCCAAAAGTAAACTTTTAGCGACCAAAGATAAGTTGGTCGCAAAAAGTCAGCGCCTTGACCCAAAAAAATAATTCTTTTGTGCTGCCTGGGACTTGAACTCTTGACCAAGGAGTCACCATGCACCCAATCTACTCTACCAATAACATGTTTCTTGTTCATATTTGGCAAACAATATATATAACCCATAAAAATTGGGTTATATATTATTTTATAAAACTTTTAATGCCTAAACAGAAAAATAACATGTAATTACAGTAGTATCATTTTTTTTAAAATTTATCCCACCATAACTTTCCGCAACCAACTTTTTTTTTTGGTCGCCAAAGGGTAATCTTCCGCGACCAAAAAAGCCTTTGGACGCCAATAGTATACTTTCCGCAACCAACTTTTTTTTTTAGTCGCCAAAAGGTGATCTTCTGCAACCAAAAAAGCCTTTTGTCACCAATAGTATACTTTTCGCAACCAACTTTTTTTTTTGGTCACCAAAGGGTAATCTTCCGCGACCAAAAAAGCCTTTGGTCGCCAATAGTATACTTTCAGCGGCCAACTTTTTTTTTTGGTCGCCAAAGGGTATACTTTCTGTGACCAACTTTTTTTTTGGTCGCCAAAAGGTGATCTTCCGCGACCAAAAAAACCTTTGGTCGCCAATAGGTATACTTTTTGCTACCAACTTTTTTTTTGGTCACCAAAAGGTGATTTTCCGCGACCAAAAAATTGTGGTCGCCAAAAGGTAAATTTTGGTCGCAAAAAGTGGACTATTTGCGACCAAAAAAAATAGGTGGTCGCCAAAAGTGTTTTTTCTTGTAGTGGTATCATAAGCATATCTAGTATATACTCAAGCCATACCGTACATCAGTCAAAATAATATTTTTCTTCTAATACAGATGTAAAATTAGTTTCATTGGCCTATTTTGGGAATGAAGTTAAAAGTCAATTTTTTGGCCTTTTTTTTTTAAAAAAAAAAAAAAAAAAAAAACAATAAACAAATTCTTTCACTATTATTCTCTCTCTCTACAAACTTTCTCTCTCTAAAGCTTTAGTCTTGTCTAGTCATGGCGAAAAAGGGTTTTGAACCTTGCCATGTCCTACAACAAAGCAGAAGAGACAAGCTCAAAGGGCTAGCCCAAAGCAACCTCCAAGGGTGCGTAGGTTTACTCCCTCTCTATGATCCCCCACTCATCTCCTCCGATCTTGGCCTCAGCCTTCTCTTCCTTCTCCAACAGCATCGTCACCGCGTCGATGGTCGTTGATGCTCTCACTAGCGGCGGAAACGATTTTCTCCGAGAAGCGGCGTCGACGGCGAGGGATGATTAAGCGATGAGGAGGATGAGAAGAATGTTGGAGATGAACATGTCATCATTGTTCTAATTTTTTTGTTTTTGTTTTTTCTAGGTTTGTAAGTAAATTTTGAAGCTGGGTCTATAAGTAAAAATTGTATGAGTATATATGCATGTAATAAATCAAGTATATGATATTTTAGTTTGTGATTTTTGTTTGGCGAAATATGATCCACCAAACAAAATCAGGGTAGTCAAAACACGTGGAGAAATAGGTGGGTACCCATCCCCGACCCATTTCTGACAAATATTTAAATTTGATCACCTACCCAACCCGACGGATAAGAAAGAAGAAAATCCATGTATTCGGGTTGGGTCTCCATGAATACCCATTGGATAAAGTATCCATTGCCATTTCTACGTGTGAGATATTTGGTAAAATTTTTAGGATCTCTAACATTGTTCTCCTGTTCCTACCAAATATCTCTTTCCTATTTCTTTCTCACCTTTCTCTTGTCCTCTCACTTTCATGTCCTTGTTCCTTTTTCTTTTCTTTTAAATTATTATTGATTTTATTAAATTATATATAACTTTTAATATACAAATTTAAGTTTTATAAAAAAAATACCATTAAAAAGATATCGACGATATCTTTAAAAAAAAAAAAAAAAAAAATTGTAAAAAAGTAAAAAGTTGATGTGACTCAAAAAAAATTAAAAAATCAACTTTTTGGCTTTTCACCCAATTGTTAAAATAAGCCATGCTTGGCATGATTTTAAAATTAAATTTATGATTTGTAAATTATTTAATATAATAATATTTATTTTTGATTTATATCTTTACTTTGGGTATTAAATTTGAATTGCAAGTTGGATCCTAACAAAACTAAACTAGTTAACTAAGTTTTGTATTATTCCAAATTAAAATTAAATGTTTTTCTACAAATATATAAAATTATCCCAATATCTTATTATTATTATTATTTTTTGAATTTTACCGTATCGACCGGTACATACTTCATTGTTTGTTGGAGTAACCCTTTTTACTATTATTTGGGTTGTACCTTGAGAGACCTTGTGTCCATGTTGTCTCAGTATCCTAAACCTGAGAGCTGTTGCATGAAGGCCTTCTTGCTCAATATACGCATCATCATTGTTTGTGCTTCTTATGAGAGTACCAAGAGCAATGTTGATCTCCTTCTCAAAATGATAACTTAACCCAAGCCTATCAATATTGTCAATCAACTCTAGCTTGGCCAATGGTTTAATATCTTCATTTTCAACCAACTTCTTCACATGCTTCTTCAACTCTTCAACTCGCTTCTTGTTGGATGGTGATTCCTTAAAACAACAATATTATATAATACTTTAAGATTTAGATCCTCTCTGTTACATGTTTGGAATGAAGATCTCTATTTCAATATAGAAAAGGTGTAAAAAATTAACTATCATAATTGAAAGTGAAAGATTAAAATAAAATTTTAATGAAAGTATAAAGAAACTAAATACAACTAAAAAAAAAATGTTATACTTGACAAGTAATATATGGAAGCCTTCATAGTTTTAATTACACTTCCCAAAAAAAAAAAATGGAATAAAGAAGAAGAAGAAAAACATGCGAATCATTATATATATACCTTGTAATTATTATCTAGTGATTGCAGCAAATCGTAATCCCAGATACAAGGTGGATAGGATTCAGACCCCCTCTGGACTATAGCATTCATTTGAGCAGTCAAATTGACCTTTTTGTCCCTACTCAGCTTGTAAACACAGCCCAATTTCCTTCTTGAGATATGTGAACGATTGAAGAAATGAAAGTTTGAAGAAAGATTCAGATTAGCAAGAATAGTAGCCATATATTGGGATGCTATGATTAATGTCTATCTACTCCTCAACTCTATTTATATACCAACCTTTTCTTCTCTATTTGGTTTTCAATCAAGTTTAGAGACAAAAAAACGAGTTATGGATGTAAATATATTTTATGATATTATACATACAATAATCTTCGCAATTTAAAGTTGTAAATTATCATAATTTTTACAAACAATAATACGAAAAACAAATAAAATATCTAGATCTGCTATGTAAAAGTTTTTAGTAATCCAAAGTTGATTGAACATTTGGAAAAGATTTTTTTTTTTGGACCCTCTTTTGAATAAAATCTTATTAAATCTATAATTCATATGTCCCATATCATACCATAATGACTAAATAATTAAATTTAGTCTTACAACTCAATCAGAAAAATAATGTATATAAATGGATAAGATTTTTTGAAATGAATTCCATCAATAAAATTTTATAAAATCTAATCTATTCATATCTAGTTAGTATTTAATTTTAATACTCATAATAAAACTGCATGATTTTTTCATGTTCTTTGCAAGTAGGACCACTAAATACTCAACTCTCAATCATTTTTTCTCTGTTTATGTTTGTGCAAGATCTTGAGTAGGATCTTCCTATCCTTATGAAGAAGACCGTTAATTTCTCAACTCAAGTTAGTCTTCATTTGGGAAAAGTTAAAATAGTCTGTTTTTTAGTTTTTTGACTATTTTAGCATGACTTTTTTAGTCTCGTTTGATTTTTATTTTTGTCTTTTTTGACTTTTATCATTTGAATGTGATATTTTATCTTATTAAATTATGTAGCTAATTTTATCTTTTGTGCTTTTTTAACCAAAAGATAGCTTAATAGGTTAGACCAACTTTTTCCCCTCTCTTTAGTTTTGTGCATGTTTATCAAAGTAGGACCGCTTTGTTTGGATTTTGGAGTTGGGATGGAATTTGTAGAAAGAAAAGAAAAAGCAAGGGAAAATTAAATAAAGATAAATTATAATTCAGTTTAAAATGACCAAATCTATACTATATATATAACTAAATGTAGTTGTTAAGTCAAAAGGCTCTAAAACTTGAATCCTAATTTCTCATAATTTTGAAGAAAAAAAAAATTACATGGCACTTTCTTTCACCTCCCTTCCCACTCTTCAAGCCTTCTCACTCTCTCTCCTTATATAAAATATAAAAAAAACTAAAATATTCATCTATATCCATCACTAACAATAATATTTATCCCAAAATAATAAAATATTCATCCATTATCATCACACACAATAATATCTATCTCACTCCCAATCTCAATTGAAAAAAAAAAACACCCCACAACTCCTACAACTTACACACACACGTTTCTCTATTCAGTTTATTCCAATAAAATTCAATCATTCTCTCATCTACCCATCTTTTGTTTCTCAAAATAACTCATCTTCTCCATTGTTACATTTTAAGGTCAGTGTAATATTATTTCTTATTTTATATGTATTTTTTTAATGTTTGTTATTTTGTATGTATATATATTTTTTTCTCAATATTTTTCAATTTATCTACACATCTTCCAAATGTATTTGTTAAGTCAAAAAGCTCCAAAACTTAAATCCTCATTTCTCATAATTTTGAAGAAAAAAAAATATTACACGGCACTTTCTTTCACCTCCCTTTCCACTCTTCAAGCCTTCTCACTCTCTCTCCCTATATAAAATATATAAAAAACTAAAATATTCATCTATATCCATCACCAACAATAATATTTATTCCAAAATAAAATATTCATCCATATCCATCATCCACAATAATATCTATCTCACTCTTAATCTCAATTGAAAAAAAAAAAAAAAAACCCCCCAACTCCTACAACTTCCAGACACACGTTTCTCTATGCAGTTTATTCTAATCAAATTCAATCATTCTCTCATCTATCCATTTTTTATTTCTCAGAATAACTCATCTTCTTCATTGTTACATTTTAAGGTTAGTGTAATATTGTTTCTTATTTTATATGTATTTTTTTAGTATTTGTTACTTTGTGTGTATATATTTCTTTTTCTCAATATTTTTCAATTTATCTACACATCTTTTCATCTTCTCCATTTTTATGCTCCTAATATTATTTCTTACTTTATATTTATTTTTTCAGTGTTTATTACTTTTGTATGTATATATATTGCCAATATTTTTCAGTTTATCTACATATCTTTTTATCTTCTCCATTATTACATTCAATTATTCTCTCATCTACTTATCTTTTCTCAAAATAACTTATCTTCTCGATTGTTATATTTTGATGATCTGTGAAAATCATTACAAGGTCAGTGCAATATTATTGGGTGTTTGTTACTTTGTGTGCATATATTTTTTTCTAATATTTTTCAGTTCATCTACACATCTTTTCATTTTTTCCATTTTTATGCTCCTAATATTATTTCATACTTTATATGTATTTTTCCAATGTCTATTACTTTTGTGTGTGTATATTTTTTCTAATATTTTTCAATTCATTTACATATCTTTTCATCTTCTTCATTATTACATTTTGCATGATTTGGTCTTGCTTTTTTTTTTTTTAATTTGTGATTTGTGTTTGTTCTTCAATTTAATTAGATTTGAAACTCATCAAATATTGAATTTAATTTAATTTTTTTTATTTTATCTCATATCTATCACACCATCACACCCATTAATGGTTTCGGGTAAACTCTCGAAATCAATAAGATCAGCTATGCATAGAGTTAATCTCACATTTGTTCCTTCAAGCTCTCTCAAATGAGAGTTCTTCAAATCATCTGCAACCAATATACACCCAATTGAATACACACACAAGACAGCTTCAAAACCTTAAACACAATTTCTCAATTTTAAAACTTTTAAAATTAAAAAATATATTTGGCTTAAAGTGATAGGTACATCTAGCAATATTTAAATTTAAAATTTTAGAATCTTTAAATTCTATCTAAACATATCTAATTTAAAATTTTGAATTTTTTTTTACAATATTAAAAAAAATGGTTCAAATCTATTAGTGTATTATCTAAATTTTGAATTAACACACATGACATAATCTTACTGGATTTAACATTTAAATTTTAAAATTAACTAAAATGTCTAATTATATGATTCGAGGAATTTCAATACTTTATTCTGAATTTTCCATTTTTTTTAATTTTTACAAAATTTAATGCTAAGTGTTGATTTTTTATTGCATATCCATGATTTTATCCAAAATTCTTTTTATGGCTATAATGATAACGATTGACTACCATCAATTTTAAAATTTTCTATCAATGTTTTTTATTTTATTTTTTATTTTTTATTTTATTTTTATTTTTATTTTTGAAAAAATCATCATCAAGCATGCAATTTAAAAATTAAATATATTTTATTCTATTACAACTTTATTAAAAAAGTAAATTTATTTTGCTGCTATTCAAGAAAATATATATGCCTTTATTTTGATATAACAAACAAAATTAAATTATCTTTTACTCATACGTAATCTCATATTTTATCTTTTTAAAATTTTGATTGTCAACAACCGAATTCCCACATCTCTCTCTTCTTTTTTTGTAGGATGTTTATTTTACTTTTAACTTTACTTTTCAAATTAGATTTGATATATATCCTTTTACCTATGTATATATCTATACTATATATATAAGCAAATATAGTGTGTTCTCTAAAATTTTCAAAGTCTCAATACTCAATTCTTAAGCAGAGTTAAGATTCTATTTCCTACATGTTGCTCTCTCAAAGTTATGTTTTTAATTTGTCATTCTTATTTTTCTCCAATAAAAAATATTTTTTTCTCTTACTATTGTTTTTATTTTAAATTTTTAACTTTTAAAATATTTTTATTATCTAAGACTCCTTATCTCTTTTTATTGATTTTTTATTTTGCTTAATCTTCTCCAGTATTTTCATTTTTCTTTATTTCTCATTTCTTCCTTTTTAATTTTTTTTATGCCCAATCCTATCATTGTCTCCAACTTTATTTTTATTATATTTTTTGTATGATGCCTTTTTTTTTAAAAAAAAAAATATTTTAATCTCTAATCTAATTATCTTCAAATTCATTTCTATCTTATTTTTCAAATGCTTCACACTTCAGCTATATATTTTAACATACCATCGAGTTTGTTAGTGTTTGCATGTTGGGTATAAAGTTTTGTTCAAACTCTGTGTTTAAGATTCGAGTTACATTCAACCATCAACAACGTTACAATTGGTTAGGTAGTTGTAGGATTTTAGGGTTCTAGTGAATTTTATTCTCTCTGTATACCTATATGTATATGTAGCGGGGGCATTTTTTTTGTTGTTGTTTTCTTTAAAGGGGCCTTTAAACATTTTCACATTATTTGTAGTAGTATTCATTTTTATATTATTTGTAATAGTACCCATTTTTACATTACAAAAATGCTTTAGACCAGTAATTAGTGGTGGCTCTAATGATGTGGCAGTGTGTTTTGTGCCTTGTTTTTTCTTTTTTTCTTTTTTTTTTCAATTGCCACCTCACTAGTGGTGGTATTAGTGATGGTAAATTAGTGGTCTATAGCATTGCTCTTTACATTATTCCTTTTTAAAGTTAAAATAATGTCTGATAGAAATATAGTTCATGTTGCTAAATGACCTACTTAGACTAAGATAATTTTACAATCAATGTTTCAAATGACAAATTTATGGAAAAAATGAATGTATGAACTTAGATATTAGATAGTTATCATATTCAAAATATTTGTCAATTATAACTCCCTATTATATTTTAAATTTATAAGAATTTTTTATTTTATAATACAAAAATGAGTATAAAAAATTATTTAAGTTATACATTCTCGTCCATAGCATGGGTTGCCGCTAGTATAATTATACAAACTTGGGGTGCAATTCTCTCTGTGTAAAAAGCCCACAGAAAATGTTGCAACCCTCACCTCTCTATAATTACTTTTGTTCTTCTACCTTGATTTATAATTTTTTCTTAAATAAATCACATGAAAAAATAAATAAAATATAATCTATTTTTATTTTTTAATTATTTTATTTTATCTTTCCTTAATTTTTTCATTTCTTTTCAAATTTAAAATACAAACGTATTTTCAAATATTTACATAATACCTTAGACCAT